ATTCCAGTGTGGTACAAATACCGTGCAAGATAAGAGTTACTGGGAGACATTCTTCTTCCTGCTGTGGGCCATGTACGCTGCTGTGGAGGTGTATAGGGACTGTAGAAGTCACGTCACTGGTGGGAAAAGAATTCCCTTGGTTCAGGCACTGCCTAAGACAGCTGTGGGCTTTTTTATGAGGCCCCTTGCAAGGCCTATGGAGGGGGACATGTTGGAGATGAAGTTGCAACACAGATCTGTAGCCACTGCAGAGGCTTATTACACCAGTGTCTCAATGGAGGTAGGTGTTGCAAGTCTTGGGTGCTTGTAATGAATGTTTGCGACCCCTGAATGGAAGACATTAGTTAACCAATTATTATTATTATATATTTGTATTTTGGGAGCTCCTAGGAGTCAGTCATGGACCAGCATCCCTTTGTGCTAGGTGCTGTACAAACACACAAGACCCAGACAGTCCCTGCCCCAGAGAGCTCACACTTTATCAAACAGGCAGGGGAAGCACAGGAAATAAATATGGTGGCTGTGGTCAGCATGACCGGCCAGGACCTCCAGCACCCCTGCAGCAGGCTAACCATAGTGAAGTTTGAATTAATGAGTATAAGAGCTATGTAATTAATTAATTGCCATAGTTAAAGCTGGCTTGGAGCTCCTCTGCAAAGTTCTTGTAAATCAATGGTGGTGTTACCTTGGAGGCTCCACGTACCTGAGAACTGTCCAGTGAAAGGTGACTGAGACTGCAGTTGAGCCAGAGAGCTCCTCTATCATGGCCTCCCGGCTGGCAGGACTGATGCTCCACAGCAAACTGGCATTGCTCTTTATTTTAGCAACGACGATGTCCTCTGGGCTGTAGTTCACTATGAACTGCATGGCAGACTTGGGAAGGGATGGAAGGGGTAAAACATCAAGACAGGAACCTGTTGGCATCTCAGTAGGGCCTCCTCGACACAGGCTTCACAACAGGGGACCAAGGCATTTGAAATGGCTTGAACTCAACAGGGGAGTTTAACTCAGCTCTGAGAGCAGGGTCAGGCTGCATGAGATGTGGCTGAAATACCTAGTGCTGGGCCCAATCCTGCCTCACAGCCAGGTCCCAGAGCTCCAGGGGGGACAGGAACAGGGGTCACCAGGGAACAGCTGCTGCCAGGAAAGATTGGCCCAGTGGAAAAGAGCTTGGCCATCTCTCCTCACCTCAACCCCACCTTCATGTCCCCTTTCTGCCCTTGCATGGGAGGCCAGGACTTGGCAGCAGCTCAGACATGCTGATAGGGAGCTCTCCTCCAACAGGGGAATTCTCTGCTGGGCATTTGTCACTGAATTATGGCTCTTTTGCTCTTCCTGAGTTGCACACTGGGCCATCACTAGGCTGAGGACCTGGCTTGTTAACCTTAATAGAAACACGGATGTACACACTAGAGTAGTCTTAGAAACCAGTTTAACCCACAGCCAGATTTAAACCAGGTGTGACAGGGTGCAGTAGCAATAAGGAGTGAACAAAGGTGGTTAATACCAGCTCAGTATTTTCTCCCCCTTTGCACAGGTGCTCAGGGGAAGGGCTATAAATGGTCTGCTTAAGGCAGTGATTAGGAGAAAAGTTAGCTTGGGGACTGGATTCTAGACAGGGTAAATATTTGATCATTTTATTTTGTGCTTTGACTTTAAATTGCAAACATTGACCCTTGATGACTGTACCAACGATTTTTTTTCTGCTGAGTCACCCCACCAGCATGTGCCATGACTTCTAAGCACTGCTGAAATCCCCCTGTAGACAAGACCTGGGCTGAAAAAAATTCACTGCAGTTTTATGAAGGGTTCATCCCAGGAAAGGGAAGAAACAACCCCCATGTACCTGGCCAGAGAGCTCTGACTGAGCAGCACTAACACGGAAGGATAATAGGAGGGAATCTTGGCTCTGTATTGAATGAGGTGACACTTACCGGGTGAAGGGCATATTGACTAGCCAGGTCATCATAGGCTGCCGAAGAGAAAGGAATCAGATTCCGGTGCTGAGCACTCATGGTGAATAATGGCTAGTGAGAAAGAGAGGGCAAATCACAGATCCGGGATTGTCAGTGCAGTCTGGGGCCCCTGTCTCCAGGGCAGACTGTCTCCAGGCAGAGAAAATTATACCATTGGTATGAAGCATGAATTTGTCACCTTCCCTTTTCTTTCTTATTACTCTTCCCTTTTCTTTTACTTCCCCTGCCATTTCACACAGGGCCTACCATGGGCCATTTCCACACAGTGAACAATAAGGTGAAAAGATTCCTACTCTGGTGTAAATCCACAGAGTCTTTGTACATGTGCATATGTGTGTGTGTGTGTGTGTGTGTGTGACATTCGTGTAAGAAAAATACCCTTACCTCATAACCGCTAATGGTAATTCTGACTGAGACATCCAGGGGCTGATTGGTGACTCCTGCCACAGATTTAACCAGTGACATAAGGAGCAGTGGGAACCACACAATGCAGACTAAAATAAAGACAATGCAGCCCCCTACTCCATATTTCACAATCAATTTCTTCTTTTGGCCAGAGGGTTGAGGATATTTCTGCAAAGAAAAAAAAATGGAGTATGATGCAATCGTAGCATCATGGCAGGGGAAATCAGGTAGGGCTGGAAGTAACTTGGTGAGCATTTAGAGGCTAAGGTAGTCAGTACATTTGGAAAATAACCTTGCTGTTTTGCATGCACATTGAGTGACAGATTGCTCAATCAATGCACTAAGCATATACAAAGCAAAGGGCATGCGTAGACTGACTGGCAACCTCACCACCTCAAGTGAATTATTCCGCTTATATCTTATCTATTCACTTTTAATGGACTATATGAAACATTATCCAGTTTTTAAGACATGAGTTAGTTGTAAGTGCCTATTATTTTGTTTGTGAGGCCTGTGGTTGTAATGCACTGTATACACATACAAATCAGTAGAAATTATCAGCATAAAGTAATGCATGTAATGTAATGCGTAATCAGCATGATGTTCTTCGAGTAGCCCACTGTTGCTTCTCAAGAGTGCAATGGAACAGCTCTGTGGATATGAAACAGCAGCAGTGAAACAGACTGGGGCAAGGCTGTATAAAGGCTGACAGGGTTAGGGAAAAGCACCTAAAGCAGGGGTGGGGAATCAGGCACCCTGCCCCCTGGCTTGCCTGGATCCAGCCCCCAAGGCTCAGGGTTCCCCCCAGCATTGGGGAGCCCACATTGGCTGTGCAGCCCCCTTGCTGCCCTACTGCAGGACTGGAGCACACAAAATCTACTAGGCTGTGGGGAGTTCCCAATCTATAGGGGAATGTGGGGAGTGTCTTCCTCCTCAGGTGGGGGCCATGTCAGTGAGCGTTTGAGGGGGGAGGTTCCTTGGATTTGGGTTTTTTTTTTTTTTTGCTTCTCACTTGTATGCAGCCCCCGACTGATTTTTCTGTAGGTCAGTGGGCCCCAGCCCAAAAAAGGTTTCCCATCCCTGACCTAAAGGGGGAAGGACCAGGAGCCTAAAGTCTTGATAGAAACTAGATGTTCCCCAGCTCCTTCCATCGAATGAGTGCTGCTCTCCACAGAAAGCAGCAGCAGCTAGAGGCAGAGTACAAGTTGCATCTCTTTAAACTGGAACTCTCTGGCCTGGCAACATCTGTGGTTTGGAAGGACCAAGGATGTTCCAGGATCAGAGTCTCAGCGCCCTGTGTGGGGTGGAAGGCCGGGAGCCCGGGGTGATGTGGGGGAGGGAGGAGGTGATGTGTGCCCAGCTGTGCTGGCGGGGCAGGAGCAGGGAAACCCAGCACATGGTTCAGCTGGGCTGTGGGTGGGGGGCCCAGGAGCTGGCATGTGGCACAGCTGGGCTGGTGGGGTAGGGAAGTGGGAGCCATCACACAGCCCAGCTGGACTCTGCTGGGGGGCAGCTCAGCTGGGCTGCAGGGGGATCCAGGAAGCCGGGGTGGGGGGACGCAGCAAGAGGGACAGAAATGACCTCCCCTGGTCTGGCAAAATCCCTCATCCCGGACCAGTCAGGTCCCAAGGGGGCTGGACCAGGGAGGTGCAACCTGCACAGCATTCAGATGTTGAGGAGTTGGATAGGAGCTTTGTTTGCAAAATAATTAGTGAATTAGTGGAAGCCTCATTGCTCGCAGGAGCTAAAATTAGCCTGGAAAAAAAAACTCTACAGAACATACTGTAGGAAACAGTCCTGCATGAGCCAGAGGGATGGACCAGACCACCTAATAGATCTTTTCCAACCTAACTTGTCTGACTTTAATGTACTCTCACCCCCAGCAGGAGACATGAGCTGAACATATAAATAAGGAAGAACAGTTTGTAGCTGGAAACCCCTTTAAGGGAGAGTCTTTTTTAGCTGTGGGCCAGGATTTCTTCCCCATACGTAACAAAGAGAGGGTGAAATCCTGGCTCCATTGATCTCCACAGGATTTTTTGATACTGATGTCAGTGGGGCCAGGATGCCACCCATAGTCACTGTTGTGTGAGACCAAAGTTGACACTGAGGCAGTACTGAATGGTGATGTAATGCTAAGTGAAATCAGACTCCCCTATATAGTGTCTATGACGGGTGAGAAACCTTTTTTGGGTCAGGGGCTACTGACCCACAGAAAAATCAGTCAGGGGCCGGGGTTTGTGGGGAGGCAGCTGGGGGAGGAGCTGGAGTGCCAGCGTTGGCTCCGCAATGCTGAGGGAGACCCTAAGCCTCAGGGGCCAGACCCAGGCAACCCAGGGGCCACATCCATCCCCCAGACCTTAGGTTCCCCACCGCTGGTCTATGGGTTCATTTGCCTTTAGTCAGATAATCTTGAAGTCCCCAGCAGAATCCTCACTCAGTAAAATAGGTCTAGGCCCAACACATTGCTGGGTGCATAATTACTGCTTCATTTTTAAATTATACAGTCAGAACACTACAGACATCTTTAATCTGCAGCATTGTAGTGCACAGTGAACAAGGGAAGGTTCTGCTCAAATGTGAATCACTCCATCTTCCCAAGTCCAATTTTTTCTGAAGGGTGCATTATTTCCCCCCCCCCCTCTCCCTGCCCAATCTGGCCTCAGAAACGTTTGTGTTAGAGAATGTCACCAAAAGGGATTGTATACCTGGAATCACTCACCTTCTCAGACTCTCTCAGGCATTTCATAATGAAAACATTTGCATATAAATCCTCCACACAAATCCAGCTGGAGAGACTCAGTGTGGTGTCTGTCCAAATCCAGTCCATGACAGCTCTCATCTCTGTAAGGAAAGGCACCATGCGAAACCTACCAGTTGAAGAAGAAAGAATGTGATTAACCTTTTAGATTGGCCCTCTTTGTTAAATACCACCCTGGAGTCCTAGCAGATAGATAATTTTCAGGCATTCCCTGAATCTTTTTTCCTGGCATAATTCTCCTAGATTAGGGGAGATTTTTCCTTTATCAGCTCCTCTGAGAAACAGTTTCCAGTGTGTAGTTGTAGAGAACTGAGACGGTGCCAAGGGATTTCAGAAATCACAGAAACCTTCGTGCTTCAGAAGCCAAATGCTAACTACTGGGGGGTACAAAGAAACTTCTTCTATGGGCAAATTATCCCACAGTTGTCCATTATGGGAAGTCTGAGCATCTGGTATTAGCCACTGTCAGAAGAGGGTACTGGACTGGATGGATCATTCACCATCCAGCAGGCCCTATTCACCCACTAGAGAATGATTGAAATTTGGAAGATCTTTTTTAAGGGCCACATTTACAAAGGGGCCTGGACTTGGCCTCCTATTATCCCTGCACAGACACCTGTGTGCACCCTTTTTGGGTATCAGCACCTGTGTACAAAAGACCATTCAAGAGTGGGGTCTCCTTGTGCTAGATGCTATCCAGCATAAGTCTTTGCCCCAAATTGATAGATTCTCTCACCTGCAGATGTAAGAGATGGAGTTTGTTCATGGAACATCCACCGGTCCTGATGGGGGAGGTGTCTACAAAGCTATCCTCTTGTGCATAAATTATGTTTTTATTCCCTGATTTGATGGGTAATAGCACTCAAAACTGCAATGACGTGTTTGTGCATGGCCCACTACAGGCCAGTGCCAGAAAACTAGGCCCCAAGAGATTTCTCCTTTAAAGTTCCTTTCAGAGCCTCTTCCTTTATACAAACCCACAGATTGCTCTGTGTAATGGAAGCCCATATGGGAAAAGGATATTTTTTCCATAGTGTTTTAGGTTAATAATATGAAACTCAGCATCTATTTAAAAATGCATCGAGTACATAAAATTCATCCAAAATACCACCAAACTGGCCAATGGCTTTTTAATATCTCTGCCACAAGACTGTGTATTTCCTGTCTGGATCCATTCCAATGGCAATTCCAGGCATGGAATATATTTAGTCTATATTTACTTAGTCTACTTAGCTTTCAGTTAGTGTCTTTGGCTCATCTCACAACCATGCTATTTCAGGATGATTTATACAATATTTACATTGAATTCTGCTAATATTTCCTTGCCTCTTGATACTGGATTACAGTATATACATTCCAGAGACCTGTGCTGAAGGAATAAGTAGCAATCAGAGAGGATCTAGCTATGGGGAGACTGCCAGGAAGTGAGATGATTTGTCTGAAAAGCTTATTGAGCAGTTATGTGGAAAAGTAGCAGTCTGGTTAGGGGGAAAGTACCCTACAACAACAAGAAATGTGGGTTATCTTCAAGAGTAAAATTATGGCATTTAAACCCTGCTCTCCTTTCCTCTAAAGTGCAAATTTAGGGCTTGAACCTAATCTCTGGTATACTTGCCAGAAATCACACAACCTACCCTCGCCCCCCCAAAAAAGAACAGTCAACATTTATATAGCTAAATACTGGTCCCACTGAATTGAGTGAGGATTGTACTATTGGCTTTAATGAGACTAGGACTTGGCCCACATTTTTTTAGCCTCTATTATAAAAGCTGAACAACTCTCTGCTTACCCTTGGAATAGAAATAGATTTACGAAATTGTAACTCTTTGTCAGAAAGTTGCCTAGGACCCGATTTGGATAACCACATTTGATCTGATAGGCTGACAAGCCAAAGTAAACACATTTGACCAAGTACCAAAGCTGAGCCACATGGTTTCTGTTAAATCTCCTGTAAGGGAACAAAACAAAGATTTCATTACACCTTTTTTATCACCAAAGTCTTTTAATTTTTTTTAATGCAACAGTTCCTCAATCACTAGTTTGACCTTCATGTTAATATCACCTCCTCAGACTGGATTGGAACCTAATGAAAAAGAGATGCAAAGAGAGTGGCCATATGTCACCAGGGGTCCTGTTAAATGGAGCTTCTTTTCCTTGCAACTTCAATAATAAATGTTCATCCATGAATGGAGGGCATTGACCAATAATGAGCAGCTTCAAAGTAGGGAGTAAGTCTAAAGTTGGGGAAATATTTCTGCCAGGTTTTTTTCCTCTTGCCATACTTCATAAGCCTGTAGATGTCTCCTTTCCCTGAGATCTCATTTTCAGAGAGTCAGGCACAGAGTTTCCATAACTGAGTTTGCATATGAACCACATACCTGGTTATTTGCTCAAATAAACTAGGTGTGCAATGCAGTATGCATTTTGCACACATAACTGTTCTCTTTGCCCAAAGCATGCCACACGCTTTCCATGTGGAGACTGCGGTAGGAAATTAAGTTCTCTGTTTATCCATTTCCAGACCCATCTATCCCAGTACATGTGCCAAGAGCACAAATTAAATCACTGCTGAAAGCCTGCAGAAATGTCAGGCTTCAAAGCCACCATTTCATCTGTCTGTTTTCCCATTGAAAGCAAACCCTGTTCACGAAAGAGAAAGATTTTCGTATGACACTATCAATAATTGTACCTTTCGGTAACGCCTGGTAATATGAAGAACATCCAGAAGTGAATGCCAAAGACAAGGACAACCTGGAATACACACTTCCCAAACATGGTCTTCCTCAGGTAAATGGCTCGGTCTACTATCATGGTGCCAAATTGAATCAGGAGCATCACCAGGAACGCTTCCGGGACCTGGTCTTCTGACAGGGACTCAGTTATGTCAGCAACTGCTGAGTGTTTCTGAAATCAATCATAGCAAACAAGGGGAAAATCTAGTTGCAAAGCGTTACCACTCAAGATTTATCCAATGATTTTATGTCACCGATAGGTTAGTGGGAAATTCCAGACCATTCCAGACCATTACTCATTACCTAATTCAAACAAGTATGTCCCCTGAGTGCGAGAGGTCTTACTGCTGTAACCAAGTGCTGTGTTTGCTATTTAGAGGTGAAAAGGCAAGACTCACCCCCTCTCCTCTTTTCAAGCAAATCCCTACTCTGTAAGCACTGAGTAGAAACATCTTAAATAAAGACACAGATAAAATGACAATGAGCAGCTCTGGATGCCTCGTGCAGGATTCTGAAGAACAGTTGTTGTTTTTTAAAAATAAGTCTATACATTTGTTTTACGGAGCAATGGGCATTCACTGTGTATCCAGAGCCAGGTCCATTTTTGTACCTTAAACCTTCCAAAATGAAACATTCTGGGTGCGTCTACACTGCACCAGGAGCTCAAAATAAGCTACACAATTTGAGCTACACAAATTGCGTAGCTTATTTTGAGTTAATTTAAAAATAGCTTATTTCAAAATTTGGTGCTATCTACACAGTGCCAAATCTTGTATATAGTAGCCCAATGTCTGTGACTCTGTAATGCTGTAGCATTACAGTCTTGCCTCTCGGGGGTGCTGTTGCCTCCTGCCGTGGCGCTTGGCTGAGTTCTGCACCACTCAGCCGGGCCGCCATGGGGCAGCAAGCGGCGCAAGCATGGCAGGGCCCGGCCATGTACATCACCACTTTGCCTCCCACCGTGGCGCTTGGCTGAGTTCTGCGCCGCTCAGCTGGGCCGCCACAGGGGAGCCCAAATGGCCACTTGCTCCCCCGCACCAGCCTGGCTGAGCGGTGCAGAACTCAGCCGAGCTCCACGGCGGGAGGCGAAGGGGGGCGGGGCAGTGACATACACAGCCGGACCCCGCCCCCTGGCCATGTACGTCACCGCCCCGCCCCTCTTCTCCTCCCGCTGTGGCGCTCGGCTGAGTTCTGCGCCACTCAGCTGGGCTGCCGCGGGGGAGCAAGCGGCCGTTTAGGCTCCATGGTCCCCGTGCTGCATGGGGAGCGTGGAGCCGAAACAGCTGCTTGCACTGTTTACCCCTGCATAGGGAACGCAGAGCTCAAACAGCTGTTTGGGCTCTGCGGTCCCCCAAGTGAGAGGCAGGAGGGGGAGGAGAAGAGAAAGAGAGAGTGAGGGGCAGGAGGGGGAGAAGAGAAAGAGAGAAGGAGAGAGAGGCAGGAGGTGGAGGAGAGCTGAGGGTGTGGGAGGCAGGAGGAGGAGGAGGAGGAGAGGTTATTGGCTAGTTTCAGAATAGAGTGCTATTCCAAAATGTCCCTTACTCCTCATGGAACGAGGTTTACAGGGATGTCGGAATAACAAGCCTGTTATATCATATATATAGTGGCTTGCTTAAAAGATGAGGAATAGCTATTTCGGGATACTGGAAGTATCCCGAAATAGCGCTGCTGTCTAGACGTACCCTAGATGCATGATATTGATGTAGCTCTGTAGTGAGTTCCACCTGCAGCATACACACCCCTTGTCTGTCCCCCCTCCCATGCCTCTTGTGCACTGGGACACTGGAGCCCCGATTTCCTACTCCTCCCCCTTCCTGTATCTCTCCCTCTCTCCCTCTGTCCCTCCTTCCTTTCCTCCTTCAACTTTTAGAGCACCACAGCTGGAATGCTGGAAATCAGCTCTTTGTGGCTGTTCAAGCTCTGGGAGGGAAGGAGAGGAGTGGGGCCGGAGCATGAATCACATGATTCGTGGCACTCCAAAAGTGCTAGGAGGGAGGGGAAGGAGTAGGTGGGTGGCGCTGTTGCCTGAAATGCTGGCTGTTCCCTCTGGGGGGCGCTGTTGCCTGAAATGCTGGCTGTTCCCTCTGGGAGGCCTGTGCTGCATGAGGAGTGTGGGGCCCAAACGGTCGCTTGCGCAACTTGCTCCCCCGTGGCGGCCCGGCTGAGCAGCACAGAAGTCAGACGAGTGCCACAGTGGGAGGCGAAGGGGGATGGGGCGGTGACGTGTGGCGTGACAGCAGCTCCAGGCCCTGCCCCCTGGCCGTGAACATCACCGCCCCGCCCCCCCCCACCTTCGCCTCCCACTGTGGCGCTCGGCTGACTTCTGCGCTGCTCAGCCAGGCTGCCGCGGGGGAGCAAGCGGTGCAAGCGACTGTTTGGGCTCCACGCTCCCCATGCAGCACAGGGAGTGCAGAGCCCAAATGGCCCCCGAGTGAGAGGCAGGAGGGGGAGGAGAAGTGAAAGAGAGAGACAGAGAGAGAGGCAGGAGGCGGAGGAGAGCTGAGAGAGAGAGATGGGGGAGGCAGTAGGAGGAGGAGTGAGAGAGACGGAGTGAGAGACTGGAGGCTCAGGAGAGAAGACCGACGTGGAGGAGAGACCTGACAATCCTGTCTTATGACGGGCTAATTGGCTAGTTTTGAAATAACAGGCTTGTTCAAAAGACGCAGAATAGCTATTTCAGGATACTAGAAGTATCCCAAAATAGCTCCGCAGTGTAGATATAGCCCCTACATTTTGGAAATACTGTACTCAGATTTCAAATTCTCCAACTTGGGAGGGTTCAGAGCTGGAGTTTTAACTAGACCCATTATAAAAATATCAGGGCTTGAGATCTGTGACTAATCCATCTCCACCCCTAGATTTTACTTTCTTCTCCGTAAGATTTTATTTTGCATGAAACCAAGCTCTTAAGGATCTTGAGAGACTCATCTCTTGTTATTACTGCTCATTCCCCCCACTTGGAAGCAGAATCACATTCTTTGAGATGTAACAACAATATCCAGATGTGAAAAGCACAAGCAAATGCTAAGACAGCCAAGCACAATGTGCAAGCAGCAGTGCTGAGAGCATAATAAGCATAGCACTGACTGTGCTGTCCCTCTGTTCCAGAAGTCTACATCGCACTACTGTTTTGGACTGGAAATGAAACAGACTCTACCCTCTGTGTCCTAGGACCCTCTCCTGAAAGAAACTGAATGTCTCACATGACATACAGAGCACCTTCAGCTCCCATTAATGTCTCTGGTGTTTTACCCCTTGCAGGAGATGGTCAATAACTTACAAGATCAAGGCCCTACTGAACCTCCCTTTCTTTTGACTTTTTTTCCATCTCTAAACTCTTCATGAACATGATCTACTCCCATTCTGGAGCCAGATTCTATAAAACAAACAAAACAAAGCACTGTCTAGTAGGTATGTAATAGTGTAGTCGATTAAACGATTAACTGATAAGCAAAAGCTTATAGGTTAATGCTATAAATTACACGCAGTCCCCTACTGAACCTCCCTTTCTTTTGACTTTTTTTCCATCTCTAAACTCTTCATGAACATGATCTACTCCCATTCTGGAGCCAGATTCTATAAAACAAACAAAACAAAGCACTGTCTAGTAGGTATGTAATAGTGTAGTCGATTAAACGATTAACTGATAAGCAAAAGCTTATAGGTTAATGCTATAAATTACACGCAGTCCCCCCCCCAGTACATTTTTTAGCAGGCTGGCTCAGTCCTGGCTTGTGCTGGGACCGAGATCTACCCGCATTTTGACTGCATTTAAAGTGTATTAGGAGCCTGGCGGGCAGCCAGCCTATCTCAGTGCCAGCTCGTGCTGGGTCCAGGAGCTCAGGCCCTCCTCCCTTGGAGCCTCTCAGCATCAGCATTCAGCTGATGCAAATCTTGGTAGTTGACGGAATCTTGGTAGTTTACATGGGAGATTTGCACCGGGCTGGAATTGCTGCTTCATTCCCAATGTAGCTAAAATCCGAGACGCGGTGGAAAGGTTCTAATCTACATGTGTAGGCCCTGGTCATGTGATCTGACCCTCATCCCTGTGTAGTGGGATGGGGGTTCTGAAGGGTGGGACTGGCTTCCAGACCCACCCTCCGGGGCTATAGAATAGTCGACTAACCAATAGGAATTCATGAAGATAATCGACTATTCAGTTAACCGATATTTAACATCCCTAGATTTTCCGCAAATGCTTTTAATGGAAAAGTTTTTCCGTTAAAAGCATTTGCGGAAAAGAGCGTCTAGATTGGCACGGACGCTTTTCCTCAAAAGCACTTTTTGCGGAAAAGTGTCCGTGCCAATCTAGATGAGCTTTTCCGCAAAAAAGCCCTGATCGCCATTTTCGCGATCGGGGCTTTTTTGCACAAAACAAATCTGAGCTGTCTACGCTGGCCCTTTTGCGCAAAAGCTTTGCACAAAGGGACTTTTGCCCGAACGGGAGCAGCATAATATTTCCGCAAGAAGCACCGATTTCTTTCATGAGATCGTCAGTGTTCTTGCGGAAATTCAAGGAGCCAGTGTAGACAGCTGGCAAGTTTTTCCGCAAAAGCAGCTGCTTTTGTGGAAAAACTTGCCAGTCTAGACACAGCCCTACTGTCTAGAGAAAGGGAGCCAGGGATGGAACAAATACAGAGTTAATGAAAAAAAAAGTGACATATTTGCTTTCTTTTGGAAACAATAGGGCTCCCTACTGTCTGTAGTTGGCCCTCTCCCTTCTCCACTGTTATCATTAGTTACTATGTTATCTGTATTTGTTAGCCTGTATTTTGTAGATAGCCTCTTCTCTAGTCTTTGGGACAGCATGCTCAAGAGAATTTAAGGTTGACTCAAAAACAAACAAAAAGCGAGTCTCCAATTCAGGGGAAATTTCCATCATATCCCTGGTGGTAGAGAAAAGAGAGGAATCAACTGTAGCAAATCCAAAGTGTGTTCTTTATTCACACACACAGGACCCTACGGTTCTTCCTGGCTCCTAGCCATTAACATAGTTTCTGCCTCCTCGCATCTCCCTAAATCTGGAGTGTGCAGCCATGGAACAACTGCTGACTACATTCCACAGTCCCCACGTTAATAATCAAGCTATTTGCTTTGCTATCTGTATCAAGAAAGTATATTTGTGCTTACACCAAAAGCCCAGTATCCAAAGATGACAATTATAAAATTGATCACATCTACCAGGAACATCAGCGCATAGACATCGCAGACGGGGCTGTACTCCGGATGAATTATGTCGTAGAAGAACTGCCTGATAGGTCGATAGATTTGAAGGGCACTAGGGGTAAAAACAAATATAAACTAGTTCAAGAGAAACTGTAACAATGCAACCTCAGAATGATGTCCAGTGCACAGCTTCCATAGAAGATCCATAAAAACTGGAAATATCATAACTCCACTGCACTGATGTGCAACAATGTCTCATTTTCTTAAGATATGTACAGATAATACCCCAATTACATTTTAATCACCAGCTTCTTTGCTTTCAATATCTGTTGTTTCATCTTCCGCTGAAGAAGTTTCCTCTTGCTGATGGGACTCTTTCTGAAAAGTGGCCATTTCTTCCTGGCTTCCTTCTTCTGCATTTTGCCTACCAAAGAGAAGACAAATCACAGTTCTTTAGAGCCATTCTTTTCTCAACAGCCATGTCCTAATGATGTCACAAGGGCTTACAATTCTGTTTAACTTTAGGTGTTCCAATAAGGCACTAATTCAGCCAAAAGGGTTATCCTACAAGCAGGCCGATTGTCTGAACAATGTGGAGAGAGGGCAGCTCCGAGCTCCCAGAATGGGAGATGCCCTGGTGGAAGGGGCAGGGCTGAGGCAGCCAGTCCTCAGCACTGCCGAGAATGCGCAGCCGCCTCTGCCAACCCTCAGAGCCAGCCAGAACTCATGGTGTGAGATTCTGGAGCGCAACACCTGGTGCTCCAGCGGTGATTTTAAAGGGCCTGAGACTCTGGCCACTGCCACCATCACCAACCCACTTCCCATCAGTAGTCCTGCTTACAAGAAATCATTGTATATAGTTTCTTAGGCAGCAAATACACGAAGTTACTCATACAAATAATTTGCATCTATATACCTTGCTAATGGTCACACTGGGGAAAATCAGTAATACTCTAGCACAGGTAGGCATAGAGACTACAACCATCTAAGGCCCAACTTTCCATTTTCAGAAAAAGGAAGCTGAACAACTGAAAATTGGGCCCTTATAATATTTTCTTCATCTTAGTTTTCAAATCAAAGACCCCTTTGTGTCCAAAAGCCTCTCAGTGTGGCCCCCACTACCTCTGTTAATGGGAGCTGTCTTCTTTCTTCTGAAGACACTTGCTGAGGGATTGTGATGTCTGAAAAGGTGCCATGCCCCTGATCCAGGCTCATCTTCCTGCAGGCTACCTCCAAACTCCTTTTTCTTTTGCCTCCTAGAAAATTTCCTGCTCTTAGAATCAGACCCATTGACATCTTTGGAATCCCATAGTCCATGGCACTAATGGGAACATTGAAAGAATGATGAATATCGTTTGATACACTGAGTCCTTGACATGGCATCTTTAATTCACAGGAACCATGACACATTATGCAGATGGAGACAGAAGAATGGGGGAGAGTGAAAGAGGATGAGTTTACATTTGAGAGGAAAGGATGGGTAGGGAATGGGCACAAGTCCCCAAATTTGGATTCACTTCAAACACTCTAAAATATTATTCACTTCAACAGGGCTAGGATTTCCCCCCAAGTACTCTGAGGCACCTCTTTACCATATGAATATCTCAAAGCAAATGGCATTTATTTATATTCTATGGCAGAAGAATTAGGCCCATAAGTGTTCAAATCTGGGATTTTGTTCAGCCTTTAGGTATGGGGGCAAATGTTACATTTAAATCCAAACCTGGGTTTAGCATCTGAGTCCTTGCCCCCAATTGATTGAATGAGATTTGAATTTACAGCAGAAATGAAGTCACGGCAAATTTAGCAGAGTTTCAGTTTTTCTCTGGAAACATTCAGAAGAGCTCTAAGAAACTAGCCATTTCTTCTCCTTCTCATTGAGAACAACATACCTTGAGGATAGACCGATGAAAGAACAAAGCCAGCAGCTGCACAAGATCAAAATGAACATAGCCATTCTTCTTCTCAATCCCAACAATGTTTGGCAGAACAAATGGCTCTTCTGCATTGATGCCACAATATAACTTAGTGGTCCAGGGAAAGAAACCAAACTGAGCAAAGTATTTGACAACTACTGTTATCTAGAGAGGAAAAAAATACATTAGTTGGAAGACATGATAGGACAACGGCTAGCCTTAAACATTTTCAGAAGAGTTTATAGATTTTCCAAATATAGCAAAAGACTCCTACCAGCATTCTTGCTGACTTCAGGTTCTGGTTTGGGATCCAATGGTATTTTATCATTTATAGATGCTCTCTAATTTTATTGTTTATTTCTGGTTTTATGTTCAATAAATTATCTGCAATTCATCAACTACCCTCAGACCTACCAATGTCCTTTAGTCACATCCTCCATCTAGTCTATCCAATTAACATCAATTCTAACAGAAATGTATTGCACTTTCATGTAAACAAATGGAATAATACTTGTTTGAAGAGAGACACTTATGTCTGCAGTAAGGCAATTTTCTGGCTGTTTCATACCTCTGTATAAACAATGGCCAGCATCCAGAAGAATTTAGTAGGCCTTGGAATGGATAACATGGCCCATAGAAATATAAGGATAGGCAGAACCAAAGTGAGGATTGAAGCAGAGACCATGTGGTTGAGAATTATGACAAAATAACAAAGCATTTCTGACTTGGACACCATTGCATTGTACAAAGCAAAGCCCAACTTCAGGGATCGAGGTAGATTCTGGTAAAACTTGTCGGACTGCTCCAGTTCATTGTCATGAAACATCCTGAACCAACAGGAAAAAAATATATAAAAATAGATGAGTTATATTTCTTCACAAAATTGGTGCAAGGCTATCAGCAAATATATTTAATACAGAAGATTATATAAATAGACCAGATGTATGGCATAAAATAATCTCTTCAGAACTACGTGCCTAAAATTCTGATAGTTTGTCAACCAAGTCATCTGTGAAAGTGATCGCTCATCTAAATTGCATCCAATCATCATCCCACCCACCCCCACAAAGTCAGATTACTGTATGCTGAGGTCCAAAGATATGTCACATTTAAGAGGTTCTATAGCATTACCAAAAATGTCTATTGTTCAAACAGAAAGAACAATGAAAATAGAAATAATAAAGTTTTATATTTGCATATTTACTGGTATATAGGCGTGGATGCAACTAAACACTAGTAATTTATTTGAATTTAGAGGACCCTCATAATTTGAGGCCCTAAACTGTAGCTTATTTACTTTGTGCATAAATCCAGCACTGACCCCACCCCTCATTCTGAACAGAACCTGCTCAATAGCCCCCCAAAATGTAGGTGTCTTTGCACATTTATACCTCCAGGTACAAAGCAACCCCAGGAGGTGCTGAGCACCTTCCACTGTTGTTGACTTCCACCCTTACTTCACTAGACAGTGTCATGAACTAATGCTGATGACAGTGCTTGGATAAACACAAATGCAAGTGCTTGGGCACAGTTCTTTAAATCTAGCCTTAATAGTAGAGCTGGTCTGGGAGACCAGGGGGTATGTGTTGTCGGTGGAGAAAGGGGAATGACAAAACAACAACATAAAATCACCTTACTCACATTTTTTAAACTTCTGACTTGTTTCCATTTCACAGGGTTCAAACTGGACCTGAAATGTTCTATTGGATTCAGATGGTGGGGGTGTCCTTGAAATTTTCATTTATAAGTTTTAAACATATTTTTCATTTATGACAACCACTAATTTCAACTAATAACAGTTTGTGGTAAGCAAAACTATTTGAAAGCTATTTTGGTAAAAAAAAAAAAAATCAGTTAAAATCATATGGAAAAAATTGTGGAAAAAATGAGACTTTCAATAACTTTTTGTGAAAGGTGTCATTTTTGAAAAGAAAAAGAAAGCCGTTGTGGGGAAACTTTTAGTGTGAACATTTTTTACCAGTTTGACCTTGTAATAGTAGCATTAATCTCATGGATGGAGAAAATAACCCATAGTTCCATATCCCCCAGCTGTTGAAAACTGGCATAGCTTTAGTATGAGTGGAGCTACACTGCCTTACACCAGCTGAGCATCTGCCACCAAAAGTCTCGTTTTAGTCAGACATTAACCACAACGAGCAGTGTCAGCACATGCAAGTGAAAAAACCAGAAACAGTTAAGTGATGCCATGTTGTTTGAGACACCTCATCATTCCATGAGCACGTGGGCAGTGTTTCCTGTAAGCTGTGCGCTTGTATGGCCTCTTAGGAGAGATTCAAATACCACCCAGATGATTAGCAGAGCGCCCACAGCGAGGTTTTTTGTTTCTGCTGGGGGGGCACATTAAAATTATTCTGCATATTGATGGGAAAAAATGCACATGGATGGAGAAGATTAGCGGGAGTATTGATTATGGGAATTGCTGGTTTGGCTATTGGTCTTTCTTGCCTGTTCAGAAGCAGCTCGCTGGCAGTCATGATAACAGGAACTTCATTTAATGGCCTGTCTGTTTCCTTGCTCCTCTCAGCTGATGGAGAAACAGCATTACCCTTGGTTTCACAGGTTGGGAATGGAGTGGTTATTTCCGAGGCAGCTCCTTTGATGCCATCTTGATCTTCCACCTTCTCTCCTGCCTTATCTCTATCACTTTCCACAGCAACTTCATCAGGTGTCCTAGATCCAGAGTAAGTTTCTTTTTTAAAAAAGAAAATCCCAGAAACCACAAGTGTCTTAATAGCAAGGGCTCACTCACCCCATATTCAGAATCCAGCTAAGAATTCCAACATCTAAGGTTGCAGTGACAGTGATTAAAAAAGAGTCACTCAGAATGTGATGGTACTTCCATACAACTTGTTCTTTTAATTTTTTAAAGGACTGAACATATTTCACGTTGGATCCTTACTAGATGCGGGCTAACTTGCCTCACAGCAGCCATTGCATGGACTGTATGCTAATTGTGCACTCTGGAGTCCTACACATGGGTAACTCCAACTGCATGCCAGCAAATTCCACTCTAACAAGTCTCTTGAGTTCACTCTCACTCCTTCTAATTGACCTCATTGTAGCCACTCTCTGGGAGCTAATTTTATAAAATCATAGAACCACAAATATTAGGCGGGAAGGATTTTGGGAAGTCACCAATTCCAGCCCGTGGCTCTGTGGAAGGACTAAGTAATCTAGACCATCCCTGAGAGCCAACCTGTTCTGAAAGCCCAACCTGTTTGGTTCAGACCAACCTGTTCTGAAAGCCCTCCAGGGATAGGAGTTCCATAGCCTCCCTCGGAAGCCTGTTCCAGAGCTTAACGACTTCAGAGTTCGAATTTTTTCCTAATATCCTACCTAAATCCCCCTTGTTGCAGATTGAGCCCAGTACTTATTGATCCATCATCAGTGGTCCCAGAGAACAATTGATCACCTTAGTCATTATAACGTCCCATTACACATTTGAAGACTGTTATCAGAGCCTGCCTTGGTCTTCTTTTCTCAAGATTAAACATGAGAGTATTTTTAACCATTAATCATAGGGTAGGTTTTCTAAATCTTTTATCTTTTTTGTTGCTCTCCCCTGTATTCTCTCCAGTTTGTCCCATCTTTCCTAAAGTGTGGCACTCAGCTGTGGCCTCACCAGTGCCAAGTAGAGCAAGACAAATACCTCCCATGTCTTACCTATGACACTGTTGAGAAAACATTCCTAGACTCAATGACATTAGCCTTTTTTGCAGCTGCACAATGTTGTTAACTCATATTCAATTTGTAAAAAACTTTAAAAACAACAAATAGTCTAGTAGCACCTTAAAGACTAACACCATGTAGATGCTAACAGCATGTAGATGCTGTCATGTTTTGTTATTCTTTAAGGTGCTGCTAGACTATTCATTTTTAAAAAAGTTTTTCCAGTTACAGACTAACTCGGCTACCCTTTTAAAGCATTCAATTTTGGTCTACTATGACTCCAGATCCTTTTCAGCATTTGATTTTTTCCTTCCCACTGAAGTCCTTTATTGAATTTCAGCTTGATGAATTCAGACCAACTCTCCAATTTGTCAAAGTCATTTGCATTCTAATCCTGTCTGTCAAAGTACCCTTCCCTACTTCATGTCATCTGCAAAATTAATTAGCATACTCTTCACTCCATTATCCCATTATATTGAATAGTGCCAGACCTGAGACTGCCCCTTGTAGGATCCCACTAGATATGCACTCCCAATTTGACAGTGATCCATTAATAACTACTTTTAGTATGGTCTTTCAACCAGTTGGTACATTTACTTTATATTGATTTCATCCAGACCACATTTCCCTTGTTTGCTTAAGAGAATATCATGTGGGCCTTTTTCAAAAGCTTTATTAAATTCACATCTATAGAGCCCTGCAAAGCTACGGATATCTGTGGCTCATTTTTTCAGATACGGATGCAGATACAAATTTTGTATCTAGAAACCTGCAAATTTGTTGATATCTGCTTTATATCTGCATCTGAGGATGTGGATGTGGATATCCACATCTCATTTTTGCGGATGCAGATACAAAATTTTGTATCCCCTTAGGGCTCTACACATCTACTGCTTCTTTCCATCCTCTAGGCCAGTAACCTTGTCAAAGAAGCAAATTAGGTTGGTCTGGCATGATTTGTTCTTGACAAATTTATACTGATTATTCTTTATAAACTTTTCCTCTAGGTCAGGGGTGGGCAATAATTTTTGCAGGGGGCCACTTCACAAATTTTGGTACATGGTTGTGGGCCGGTGTTAGGCCCCTGGAAAGGGGCAGGGCCACAGGCAGAAAGGGTGGGGCAGAGGCTACAAAGAGAGAGAGAGAGAGAGAGAGAGAGTGTGTGTGTGTGTGTGTGCGCGCGCGCGTGTATGTGTGAAAGAGAGACACGTGTGTGAGAGACAGACTTTGTGACACCGAGTGTGTTTGTGGCAGTGATGGTGTATGTGGCACAGACTGGGTGTGTATGAGTGTGGTGGTGGCAGCTGCCAACTAAGTTTCTGGGAGAAGCCAAGCTCTATTTCTTTAAAGGAAATGTGTCTTGCTCTGTTGTCTCCCACTCCCCTTCTGCACTTCTCTGAGTCATATGCTTCAGATTGGAGCTGTTCTGCTAACTGTGTATCTCAGTCTGTGACCCCTGCTTTGCAGAGATGGGGTACGGGGCAGGGGAACACCCTGACTTCAGCCCTCCCTTCTCCCCACAGCTAGCAGGAGACTCCTGGAAGCAGCTGGGTTGCAGGATGGAGCAAGGTGGGGGAGAGGGGCAGCTGCCGAAGGATGGGCGGGCCAGAGCGAAATGCTCGGCAGGCCGGATGCAGCCCCTGGTCCTGAGTTTGCCCACCCCTGCTCTAGGTGCTTAACAGATTGTTTAAAAATGTGTTTCATTTTCTATCCAGGTAGGCTGGATAGATAACGAAAGGAAGGAAGTTAGGCTTCCTAGTCTAATTCCACAAGTCCTCTTTGTTCCCATTTGTAAAAGATAGGTACCGTGTCCTTTTCTGATCTTCTGGGACTTCAGCCATCCTCTAAGAGTTCTCAGAAATAATTGCTAGCAGTTCTGAAGTTGCTTCAGTTAGTTCCTTAAGTACATTATTATGAAATCACAAGGCCCTGCTGACTTGAATACATCTATCTTACCTAAATATTCTGTAACTTGTTAGTTTGTCTTGTATTCCTTCCCCTTTCCGGTTAACATGAAGTATGTTGAGTACAGGCAGTCCCCGAGTTACGCGGATCCGACTTATGTCGGATCCGCACTTATGAACGGGGCTTTTCTCGCCCCGGAAGTCGCGGGCGGCGGGACCACCCAGACGCGCAGTGGTCCCGCCACCGCGTCCTCCGGGGCGAGAAAAGCTGCTCCGGGTGTCCCTGGGTTGCTCCACCCCGGCAGGCCAGGCTTTTGTTGTGGACGCCTGGGGTAGAGCAGTTGGGGTGCTGCCGGGTTGGTCCTGGGGGTACCTACCTGGCAGCGCCCCAGCTGTTCTGTCCCAGGCTCCAGATTCAGCGGCTGTTGAAACTGATCAGTGGCTGCTTCCAGGAAGCTGGGGGCAGAGCAACTCTGCCTCGGGCTTCCTGTAGTCAGCCCCTGGTCAGTTTCAGCAGCAGCAGCTGAATCTGGAGCCAGTTCCGAGTTACGTACAAATTCAACTTAAGAACAAACCTATAGTCCTATCTTGTACGTAACCCGGGGACTGCCTGTATTTGGTCCCTTATTAATCTTTTTAGAGACGAATGAAACAAAATAGGTATTAAACACCTCAGCTTTCTTGATGTTATCAATTACTAGTCCCCCTTCCTTGCTAAATAGACTTTCCTTCATCTTTCTCTTGCTCTTAATACATTTAAAGAATTTCTTCTTACTGCCTATTATGCCCCTTTCTAGGGGTAGCTCATTTTGTGACTCATCCTTTCTGATTTTGCCCCTACATTGCTATTCTTTTATACTCCTCTTTAGAAATTTGCTCATGATTCCACTTTTTTAGGGTTCCTTCTTGATTTTTCAAGTAGTTAAAGAGCTCTTGATGGAGATGGAGCTATATTGGTCTCTTACTATTTTTCCTGTCTCTCCTTTACATCAGGATGGCTTGCAGAAGTGCCTTTCATATTGTTTCCTTGGGAAACTGCCAGCTCTCCTGACTTCATTTTTTCCCTTAGCTGCTCGTCCTGGAACTTTACCTACCAGTTCTGAGTTGTGCTGCACCGCATTTCACTGCAACCATTCATTGGTTGACTCTAGATGCTGCTGTTGCTAATTGATGACACTGATATCCCTCTCTTGGGATTACACCTGCATGCTGCAATTTTTGCTTTGAGCTCAAATGAATTTTAAAATCGGAATGTGAATTGAAAGAAAGATGCCATGCTTCACCCAGTTTCCATTTAAACCATCCATCATGCTGAACTGGGACCAGGTTCACTCCACAACCTAGCGGTGGCCACTTGAGAGCAAGGATTGTTCAATGGTTAGAGCACTTAGCCTACAGTTTAGGAAAGCTGGGTTCAAGTCCCTACTTTACCACAGATTTTCTGTGTGACCGTGGACAAGTCATTTAGCTTCCCTATGCCTCAGTTCCCTAGCTTTAGAATGGGGAAAACAGCACCTTTCAGGGAGTTGTGAGGATGTATACATTAAAAAATTGTTAGCTGCTCAGATTCTATGGCAGTGGAGGCCATATAAACACCTTAAACTTGTAATAAAACTGCAAATACTGCCTATCTGCTCATTACCTTACTATAGGTTTGCACACCCTTATGAGAAACTGATAATGATAATGTGTCTATTCACCTGCACTCACTGCTCTCGTGAGGCAGTAGAATTTCCCACTGGGATATCTTCTGGCACTCTGATGTGTCTTCACTCTGACCTTCCTGTATGCCTTTCATTTTATTTCCTCCAGAAGGACTTTCTTGTACTTGCTGACTCTTCTTCAGGTTGTAATATTGGAGAATCGTGGCTGGTGAGGCTTCTTTTCCCTTAAAAGGTTAATACAAAATCAGTCAACTGGAAAAATGCTGTCATTGTTTCAGAAAATGGAAATGATTATAATCCCATCCAACTCTTTAAGATCCCTACAGTCCCATGGGGAATTCCCACCTTTAAAAAAGATGGCTGGTGCCCATTTTATATCATTAGTGTGTGACACACTAAACAAGACTTTTATTTTCCTTGCTGTTAATACCCTTCAGAATATAAGCATGACATCTCTCAAACCAAGTCTATGCTTACTGCAATGGAGTTTGATCTTCTGGTGTTCGATTTAGCGGGTCTCGTAAGGACCTGCTAAATCAAATGCTGAAGGCACCCCAGTTGATACCGTTACTCCTCAATTCGTGAGGAGTAAGAGAAGCCAATGGGAGCATTTGCTCCCATTGACCTCCCAATGTGAAGACGGTGTAAAGCTCAGCTTAAGGTATGTCGACTCCAGCTACGTTGTTTATGTAGCTGGCGTTGCATTCCTTTAGCCAACCTCCCAGATCTATTATAGATCTGGCCTTAGTCATCACTAAACGTAGTTAGTAGAACCATCTGGAAATGGCCAGGAAGGGATTACCTGTTCTGTTCATTTTCTCTGGGGCTCCTGGGATTGGCTGCTGTCAGTAGACATGATACTGGGCTAGATGCTAGATGACCCATTATAGATGTACTTAAGTTCTCATATGGATCGCTAGAATATCCAGATTTATTATAATGAATAGTAACACAAATTTTGGAAGGACTATTAAACCTCGTGTTTTGTGACTTAAGCTAATCTCTCTTGGAGCCAAGAGGAGACCCCTCTCTCCCTACTACGCAATTTCTTACATCTCGTTCTGAAGAATCTGGTGCTGCTCAGTGTCAGTGGTGTTTATATAAGGATATCAGGACAGAATTCCATCTTGTTACAGTTTAATCTAGTCAGATGTGATGTTATATAAATAAAAAAACCAGGACATTGTGGAAAATGACAGTGATCTTACCTTATTAATTTCTCGCCATAGCATACACCTTTCAATTCTCAATACATTTGCTACGTCCAAGTTATTTTTACAGAGTGAGTTCAGTGCCTCTGTAGTATCATCTAGCAATGCTTGAAAAAAGACCCAAGTAAACTTGATTGTATTGATTATTCTTTCAACTATATTTTCTGTTAAAAGAAAAGAAAATCATGTATAGTTATAAACAGAAAATGGTTCTATGTACTATTCTATTTCAACCTGATCGTCAGTATTGACTGAGACACAATGATAAAGGATTTGAAAGGTCATCTTTATTCTAGGGATGTACTCGACTACTCTACTTGCATCGCTCCCCCCACCACCAGGGGGAACCCTTGTCCTGAAATGGCTTCGTCTTCACTCCACAAGGCTTGAGGCATGAATAGGTAAGTCAAGCACCCCTCTGCCGACCCAGCGCTACAGGAAGTCAAAGGGAGAACACTCTTCCTTTGACTTCCCTTACTCCTCATGAAATGAGTGTTGCCATGTGTCAGAGTAAGAAGTCCTCCAGCTTGACATTATTTTGAAATAAAGGCTTGTAGTGTAGTGACACGCAATATGTTATTCTGAAATAACACTGCTGTGTAGACATACCCTAAGAAGGGAGGGATCTGAATCACTACAGACAATTTCTTCATAGGTATCAGGCTGGTGGGGTTCACCCACATGGTCAGGATCCAGCAGATCACCATTTTAGGAAGTGAGAAAGGATTTTTCCCACAGGCAAGACTAACAGAGACCTTGGGATGTGTTGGTTGGTGGGATGGCTAGCTGGCTGGTTGGTTGCCTTCCTCTACAGTGCAGGTCCAAGTCACTTACTGGTTTGAACTAAAGTAAGTGGTGGATTCTCTGTAACTTGAAGTCTCAATATTTGAAGACTTCAGTAACTTGGCCAGAAGCTTTGGGCCTATCACAGAAGTGTGTCGGTGAGCTTCTGTGGCCTGGAATGTGCAGGAGGTCAAACTAGATCATGATGTTTCGTTATGGCTTTAAAGTCTATGAAGTCCTGTGAGCCAGGGCTCTGGGTATAATATCTGTCTACTCACCTGGCTTATCTAGTTTCTCTTCAGTGACTGATATCTCCTCTTTCTCTTCATGGAATTCCAACTTCACCTCTCCTGTAACATACAGGGACATAAGCATAAAGACATAGAAGAGATAAGATATCTGCACATCCTTTCCTGCTATTCAGAGGTTATGAGCCCAGTCCAAATGCCCAGTGAAACAATGAGATTATTACTCCAGCTGAGGGCTACGTAATCACATAACAATGCACTGTATTTGAATGCACATGTATGCGGGGCAGAATTAAGGATATTGTGGCTATGGAAAAGGGAAGTCCTTAACTAGCATGTGGGATGTGCTAGAGGTAGGTGTTATCATTATTCCCTGACCTGGCCTCATGTAAATGACTTCCTTTAACATTGTGTTATCTGATTCTTGCTGTAGGAATTACAGCCTCTCTCATTCAAACGAGTCTTTTTTTGGTCTAACTGGGCCTAGCAGCCCTTGTGTTCGTATGTTTGTAGACTCTTCCCATTACCTGCCAGTCTCAGTTGCCCCTCCTCCTCTTTCTTCCTCTGCTCTCTGGTTTCATCTTCTTTTCTTGTTCTTAGAGCTGCTTTAGAGCTGGACATCCAGGCTTCATAGGCAAGCTGCATGAAGACACATTGTTAATCTTTGCTGAGAAGCCTGAACTTCCATCCTGCTGATCAAGCCTAACCTGTGTTTTGTTTGATTTACTCTGGTATCCCAGGGATTCCCAGCTTTTTAACAGAGTGGATTAAATATGTGGTGAATCCCTCACTCCCACGTCCATTCACATGATCCCCCCTACTCTCCTGCCATCACAGATACCCTCCGCTTCCCTTTACTGTCACTTAACTACCCCTTCCTACAGCAATTGCTTCCATGGGACAGCAACATTAGGAAAATATGTTCACAGTTTGCAGTAAATCTCTTGGGATTATTTTGAAAAAGGATAACTGTATACAATAATAATAATTGTAATTAAGAATAACTATTAATGCTTCACACTTTTTTACACAACGCTCAAAGCACGTTGCAAAAGGCATAATCATCATCATTCCCATTTTACAGAAGGTGCAACTGAGACACAGGGAAATCAGATGACTTGCTCAAGGTCACACAGCAAACTAGTGTCAGAGTAAGAGCTGGTCAACCAACACTAAAGGGCGGATTGACACCGCAATGATAAATTGACCTCCAAGTGCTCTCCTGTCGACTCTGGTATACCACCAGGACAAGAAAAGTAGCCAGAGTCAACAGGAGAGCAGCCCCCATGACCTGACCATGTGGAAGACACTGCAGTAAATACGTTGACTTCAGCTACACTATTTGCATAGCTGAAGTTGCATAGGTTAGATCAGTGTTTCTTAAACTATGTAACTGTGTCCATCTCCCCCGACCCGTTTTCCCCCTGGCCTTTTTTTTTTTTTTTTTTGCTTAAAAAATCCTTGGTGTTCCTCTGTCTTAAAAAGTTTAAGAAACAGTGGGTTAGATCTATGGGGAGGGGATAGTATAGACTAGGCCTTAGAAATAGCACCTAAATCTCCTGAATCTCAGTCCAGTGCTCTATCTACTGGGCAACACTGCTGGATATTATCAAGAATAAGTCCTGCACCTGGAATGCTGTTTTCTTCTTTGGTGGTTCTTCCTCCCTCTTTTCTGTATGCCCTTGTTCCTCCTCTTCTTCACTGTCTGTCTCAAAGAGATAGTAGCTCCCAGCCCGGATCACTAAAACCAGTTCCAGAACGAGATGTGGTGAGATTTTTCAGAGCTATCTAGGGGTTTTAGATGCACAATTCCCATTGAAAACAATAGGAGTTGCACATCTAAATAGCAGCTGCATAGCTATGTGGCTTTGAAAATCCTAGCCTAGCCGTTTTAACAGGACACATGTTTTAGTAAATATTAAGTAGCATAGTGAAACACAGAGTTTTTTTACTATTACTAGATTTTATTCTATTTATTAATATCTTTATGCTTATTATACCTTAAACGAATATACCTTAGTCTATAAATAGGGACATTTGGGCTGTGTCTACACTGGCATGAATTTCCGGAAATGCTTAAAACGGAATACTATTCCGTTTTCAGTTTTTCCAGAAAAGGAGCGTCTACATTGGCAGGCTGCTTTTCCGGAAAAGCCCTTTTTCCGGAAAAGTGTCTGTGGCCAATGTAGACACGCTTTTCCAGAAAAGAGCCCCGATCGCCATTTTCACGATCGGGGCTTTTTTCCGGAAAAGACTACTGGGCTGTCTACACTGGCCCTTTTCCGGAACAGTGTTCCGGAATAAGGACTTATGCCCGAGCGGGAGCAGAATAGTTTTTCCGGAATAGCGGCTGATTTTGTACAGTAGAGCATCGTTGCTTTTCCGGAAATTCAAGGGCCAGTGTAGACAGCTCGCAGCTTATTCCGGAAAAGCGGCTGATTTTCCGGAATAAGTGGCCCAGTGTAGACACAGCCTTGGAGAGGAAATCTCCGTTCAACAGCATGTAGGGCTTGGAGAGGGATTGGGAGGGAGACAGCAAATTGTACTTTTTTTTTTTTTTTTTTTTTTTTTTTTTTGTGATCAGTTACATACACCATGCTTCCTAAATAGGGATGATTGCTTAGGACAGCTATTGAAGAACAGTTTGGTTGCATTATAACTGTGTGTTTTAAATCATGTAATTATGAGCTATCCTTTCATTAAATAATGACAATTGTTCACTATCTCCCCTCCCCCCATGTTTCCTTTTTTCTGTCAGCCTGTTTGCCGTGTGGGCAGCAGGGGAGTTGCTGGTGCCGAGAACAAAATCTGGTCAGAGGCTTACAGCAGAATCACAAACCTGCTCCCACTGGAGTTAATGGCAAAATTCCCATCTTGTTGTGTATAAACCGTGTATAGGTTCTTGTTGTGTACTATCAGCAACTGTGTGCATAGATAATGTTTCTAGCAGGCTACATTGCCCTAACTTATAGTGAGTTGTGGCTCTTGGACCTTGAACACACAGAAAACTTACTGGAGGTGTGGGTCACCCAGGGTTGCCACCATATCTTCTTGTCTTCATTTTCTTTCTTGCCAGCCTCCTCTGCAAAGTTGGTTGTAAATGTACTTAGTGAAACAGACAGATTTTTTCCCTCTCCATAACTTAAAATAATTACATTTCTTAATGCACAAGTTTGTGCAGGACTCACTATGGGACTGCATTAGAGCCCATGGATTGATTATATGGATAGATTTCTTCATTCTTTTTGAGCCCTGGAGGGATTCTCTACCACCAGCTCTGAACTTCAGGTAGGATCCATTCCCTGGATCTGTTAGCCAGAATCCCATTGCTTAGAAACCCCATCATGAGGAGCAGCAGAGGGAGTTCAGTGGCCTAACTGGGTTTCAGGGATTAAATTCATCCCACAAGCTCTGGTCAGAGCCAAATGTCTTTGGCTTTGGATGTGAAGGATGAGTGTGAATTTCACCCTCAGTGGCTTTTGTAAAAAGGCAATTTTCTGTGAAACACAACAGTGCAAAACTAGAAAGCAGAGGATGGGAAGGCACAGTGATCGCTCTCCATGTTGTGACTACAAGGAATTTATTGTGACCAGATCACTTCACCTGGATCTAGAGACTGCTGCTCTTTGGCGGATTGTTCCACAGTGGTTTCTTCTGGGCTTGGTGTCTTCTGCTTCAAACTGTCAAACTTTTTCTGCTTTGATTTGATTAGTTCCATTCTATAGATGTATGATAGATTACAGACAGGAGAATAAAAATCATTCACCTTTAAATAAGTAAATAAATGCTTTCTGTCTTCACTTCAAAGTGTCTTATAAACATTACATAAAAAACAACAAATAGTCTAGTATCACTTTAAAGACTAACAAAACATGTAGATGGTATCATGAGCTTTTGTGGGCACAGCCCACTTCTTCAGATGACTGGTCATAGCTCATGATATCATGTTTTGTTAGTCTTTAAAGTGATACCAGACTATTTGGGTTTTTTTAAGTTTATCCCGTACAAACTAACACGGCTACCCCTCTGACGCTTTTAAACATTACATAGTTATCCTCAAAAACATCCCCATGACAAATGAGCCCCAACTTCATCATTGTTATCCCCATAGTAGAGGTGATCAGAAAATTAGGTTTTTTCCCTTCTGTAAAATTTTGACAAAACCCCAAACGAACATTGTTGGCCAAAAACTGCCCAAATCCAAAAATATTGTTTCCAGCTAAAAATGTTTGGGGTTTGGTATGTTTGAAGAAAGATAAACATTTCCCAGGAAATACATGCATTCTATATGCTGTGTTCTGTTGAAAACCCCATTTTTCATTAAAAAATAAAGTTTAGATAGAAAAACTGGGAACAGCCCTAGTTACAAGCAACAGCTGATAAGTGTAGAAACAAAGATATAGATGAAGCGGAGATCTTGTCACAGCTGGGACTGAATCTCAGGAGTTTTTGGCAACCTATCCTGTACATAAACAACTTGACACTTCTTTTTTGTCTCTCAGTCTGTCTCTCAATCTCCTCCTGCACCTAACACCTGAAGTATCACCAGCACACTCCACTCTGAAGCTTTTATTACAACCACAAATACTAGCCCCACCGCATATCTAACTAAAATATTATAACTGATACTAAAACAGGATGCCTATATGTCTTCATTGGTCATAAATTAACTCAAGAATATTAACATTCTGCAGGGTTAATCCAAAGCCCACTGACATCAAAGGGAATCTTTGCATGGACTTCAGTGGGAATTGGCTTCAGGTCTGAAGACAGATGTTGAGGAGCAATCCTTCGACAGCTAAGATATGAGCATTGTGATAATAACATAAACTTCCCTACCCGGGTCACTAGGGCTCAACATATGTCTCTGAGACGGCTGGCCACCTCCATAAGAACACATGCAAGCTAGCCAGCCAGGAAATAATAAAAGCATAATTATTCATCTGACTATGTGTACTGTTGTTGGAATTATTACTTCTTCTTTTTTTTAACTGAGAACAGCTTATTTTGGAGCTGGCTAAGATTTGGAAGCTATCCATTCCAAGATCTGATATTCAAAACAGGAAGCAGTTTCACATACTCTTGCAATACTATAGGCAAACCCAAAATAAACTCAGCCAGTGTTTGGCTTTTAGCCAACTCTGCGTGTGGTAAGGAAATGTTTGGCATTTTGCTTGAGAGTTCATCTGTGAAATTTTGCAGCAGACAACATGAAGTGTTTGATCAAGCTTTGCTTATCTAGCAAGTGCCTGAGGTTTCCTTCAGGCCCCACTGTAAGATGAGGAGTGGGTCTCATTATTCCAGTTCTGACAGTACCCGGCAAATAATATTGTTTCTTAGAAAGCTGTCACCTACACTACGTCAGAAATTTTATAGAACCCAGACTTGACACAGCCCAGTACAATCAGATTTATTGCTCTTGTGGGGTCATCATGATGTGGGTTGCCATTATTATGAATCCTTACAGTCTTCAAGGGAAGCTTTAATACGTCTCTATGTTGATTTTAATTTGTCTGACCTAGAGGAGTCCTGGTTGATCACAGGATGACTGTGAGCCGCCATTGTGACATGGCTGTGAAAAAGGCTAATATAGTCTTGGGATGCATCAGGCGAGGTATTTCCAGTAGGGATAAGGAGGTGTTAGTGTCGTTATACAAGGCATTGGTGAGACCCCATTTGGAATACTGTGTGCAGTTCTGGTCTCCCATGTTTAAGAAGGATGAATTCAAACTGGAACAGGTACAAAGAAGGGCCACTAGGATGATCCGAGGAATGGAAAACCTGTCTTATGAAAGGAGACTCAAGGAGCTTGGCTTGTTTACCTTTACCAAAAGAAGGCTGAGGGGGGACATGATTGCACTTTTTAAATATATTAGAGGGATAAATACCAGGGAGGGAGAGGAATTATTTAAGCTTAATACCAATGTGGACACAAGAACAAATGGATATAAGCTGGCTAGTAGGAAGTTTAGACTTGAGATTAGACAAAGGTTTCTAACCATTAGAGGAGTGAGGTTCTGGAACGGCCTTCCAAGAGAAGTAGTGGGGGCAAAAGTTCTAGCTGGTTTCAAGATTAAACTAGATTATGAAGGGGTTGGTTTGATGAGGTAACATGATCTTGGCAATTAGTTGACCTTTCACTATCAGTGGTAAATAGGCCAATGGTAGGAAGAGAGGAGTTGCTATAGAGAACTTTTTTCTGGGTGTCTGGTTGGTGAGTCTTGCCCACATGCTCAGGGTTCAGCTGATCACCATATTTGTGGTCGGGAAGGAATTTTCCTCCAGGGTAGATTGGCAGAGGCCCTGGAGGTTTTTCGCCTTCCTGTGTAGCATGGGGCATGGGTCACTAGCGAGAGGATTCTCTGCATCTTGGGGTCTTTGAACCATCGTTTCAAGGACTTCAGTATCTGAGATATAGGTGAGAGGATTATTCTAGCAGTGGGTAGGTGAGATTCTGTGGCCTGCATTGTGCAGGGGGGTCAGACTAGATGATCAAAATGGTCCCTTCTGACCTTAAAGTCTATTAGTCTATGAGTTTATGAGAGTATCTCTAGTGAGGGACTCTTTAATAAAGGTGTCAAGTATCAGAGGGGTAGCCATGTTAGTCTATATCTACAAAAACAACTAGGAGGTACTTAAAAGACTAACACATTTATTTGGGCATAAGCTTTCATGGGCAAAACGCCACTTTGTCAGACAAGAATGGGGTTTTGCCCACAAAACTTATGTCCACATAATTCTGTTAGTCTTTAAGGTGCCATAGGACTCCTCATTGTTTTTAATAAAGGTGTGTGTACAGTAAGGCTATAGCCACTGGTATAGCTGCATTGATGTAGTTGTACCGGTGCCAATCCCTTTTGTAGATGTGATGTGTTAATGGAGACTTGCCCCAATGCCACATACCCTGGTTTCAAATGGGGATAAATTGTACCAGTGGCAACCCCAGATTATCCCAATGCAACATAGTAGTATTTGTACTAGAATAGTTACACTACCAGATAATGCCCAAACGTAGACAATCATTCTGATTGGATGCCATTATTGATTCTATTAGCAATTCGTTCTCAAACAATTAAAAGGCTAAAATTCCATGGGATAGAACAGCTGATTATCGTCCAGTGCAAGGGTCTTGTAGTAGCTGTCCTGTGTACAATTCTTCCATAGTATCAACCATGGAGCAGTCAACAGTTTTCAGGTCTTGCAGTCTAGAGACCAAAACTCTCCTAGGACTATCTCAGGAACCTAAAGTTCTACAGAGGAATAAGGGCATGGACTTAATTCTGTAGGTTGGGCAATGAATCCATAATTTGAGACCCTCCATATGAATCTCTAGTATGGCTTTTCATTAGATTGCCACTGTTGTTGTTTGTGTCATTTTCTCTAACTTTTCCTTGTCATGGCAGGAAAGGATCTGAGTTATGAGTCACTAAGACAATTAGGAGAAAGGGTGAGAACAAGAGAGAGAAGTAAAAAGATTACACATCTGTAAATTCACTAGTTAGATCAGGCCTGGGCAAAATACAGCCCACGGGCCAGATCCAGCCTGCCAAGCCCCTGGATCCAGCCTACAGAGGCAGTGGGGAGCCCCAGGCAAGCTCCTCTGCTTGCCCCCACCCCTCCTCCCCCTGCAGAAAAGCAGCTGCAGGGCTCCGTTTCTGTTTTGAAACTGGGAAGGGGAGAAGTTTTAGGAGCTGCCGCGCCCCCAGCACATTCCCATTGGCCGGTTTCTGGCAGAATCTAGCCAATGGGAGCTGCTTGTTAGAATAACAGGCAGCGAAGAAGAAGATTTAAATGAGAAAATCCCAATTTTCAGAACAAATTTTCCTCTTTACATTAAAAAGGAAAACTAAAAAAGAACTATGCCAAAAACAAAGAAAAAATACAACTTCAATACAAATTGAGTTTTTATACCCAAGAAAGAGAAGAGTGCCAGAATCCCCATGAAGTCTAGTAGAGACTAATGTTAAATTTAGATGAATCAACTAATCCAAGCCTGGGGCAGATTCCACCCGCCAAGCCAGCAGATCTGACCTACAGAGGCAGTGGGGAGCACCCTGCAGGCTCCTCCGCAGTCCCGCATGCTGTGCAGAAACGCGGCTGCTGAGCTCTGTTTTCTGTTTTGAAACTGGAGGGGATGGGAGGAAGTTTTAGGAGCTGCCCCACCTCCAGCACATTCCCATTAGTTGGTTTCTGGCAAAAAACAACCAATGGGAGCTGCTTGTTAGAATAACAGGCAGCTAAGAAGAATCACACCCCTTCTCCTGGGCTCAGATATTCATGAAGCACATAACCAGGCAAGCAGGCTGGCTGGCTGGGAACATTTAAGTCTGCAGGCAGGCAAGTTTGGCAGCTGACAAGTAAGTCTCTTGGCCACAGCCTGCTCTGGCCCCCCAGCCCTTTCCTGCCCCAACTCTCTGCCCCCCCCCCACACACACACTCAACATACCCAAACCTTCTGTCCCCCTCTTACGCTCATACCCCCTTCCAGATCTGGCACACCAAACTCCTGCCCCAGATCACAATCCCCTCCTACCCTATGTCACATCCCAAACCCCTGCACTCCAGTCCCCTGCCCTAGGTCACAACCGCCTGCTTCATCCCAACTCCCTCCCAGACTCCAGTCTCCCTCCTGCACCCCAGTCCCTTATCTCAAGCTCCCTTCTGAACCCAACATCCATTCCAGAGCCTGCATCTCCATTAATATCATGGAAGAGTGCGGCCCTCGACCAGTTCCAAAATCTTGGAGTGGCCCCCCCCTGTCAAAAATTATTGCCCAACCCTGAGTTAGATGCATGGTGTATTAGTAGCAAGTGATTTTAAATGAACTGTAAACATACTGTCTTCTCATGGCTTGTAATGATTTTTTCTCTTCCTCCAATCTGAGCGCCACAGCTTTTTTCAGCTTTGCTTCAAACAGTTCAGCTCCTCTGCATGTGTGAAACAAACCAGATCATTTGTTAGACACTTCACTGTGCAGCATGCAACTTCATACCACAAAGGGCAGAACACATTACGTATGTAGAGCTAGCTAGATTATTCTCCATCTCTGGGCAATCACTAGAGTGACACTTCTGACTCAGTTCTCATTGGTGATTTAAAGTGATTGACAGCAATTACACCATTCTCCAGGCTCTGATTGGTGGATCCTGGTCAAAAAGGAGACTGACATCAGACCTCTCTGATTCCACCAATAAAAATATCAGTTTCAGAAAATTTCAAGGAAGAGTCACTCAGGCAGTGACATGGGTGATTCAGGGAAAATTACTCCACAGCAGTTTGGCTAGAGAGAGGGCTTGATAGAGAAAAAATATGATAGTAAGGATGCATTATAAATGCAGAAACATACAAGCAGATATAGATAATGGGTAAGGGAACATGAGTGAGAGAAGCTTGGAGTGGGAAGGAATGTAGATAAAGGGAATCTTCTCCGTGCCACAAAGTTTCTCTTTCATTGTCCAGTGTCCCAGGGTCTGTCCAATGGAATTATAACCCCACCATTCAGAGTTGCACATTAGTTATTCTAGGTGACTTTTTTATGGCACATGCCATATTTTCTCTCTCTGCCACACTGCACAAACACAGCTCCTGAATGCAAGGGAATCTGCTTGTCAAGCCCTTCAGGATTTCCACAGAAATCCTCAGAGCAATAGCAGAATGTTCTGACTTCCAGAACAAAAGGGTCTCAGTTCCCCACCTGGGCCATTGTGTGAATTAAGTGGTCATGACAGTTAGGATCTAAAGCCAGGCTCACCATAGGCCCAGCCGCCTCATTTCTGGCCTCACTGATCAGTTTGCTAAGGCATGGTCGTGGCAATGGAGCCTCTAGCACCTATCCTTAAGACACATTCCTTCCATGAAACCATCCACCAATGACCTTTGCAAGATTTCTGCCCCATCTTGCATCATTACCCACGATACCACACAAGTCTGAGGCAGGTTGTAAACTTCTAGGGGCAGGTGTCATTATTTTTACAGCACTGGGCACATTACCAGTCAATAGGTAATGAGTCAGCTGTGTGCCCTTGTTACCAAGAAGACTAATGGCATATTGAGCTGCATTAGTAGGAGCGCTGCCAGCAGATCGAAGGAAGTGATTATTCCCCTTTATTTGGCACTGGTGAGGCCACATCTGGAGTACTGCATCCAGTTTTGGGCCTCCCACTATAGAAAGGGTGTGGCCGTATTGCATTGAGTCTGAAGGGCAACAAAAATGATGAGTGGGATGAGGCACATGGATTATGGGGGGACACTGAGTGAATTGGGTTTCTTTAGTCTTCAGAAGAGAAGAATGACGGGAAGATTTAATAGCAGCCTTCAACTCTGTGAAGGGGAGCTCCAAAGAGGTTGGAGCCAGGCTATTCTCAGTAGTGACTGATGACAGAACAAGGAGCAGTGGTCTCAAGTTACAGTGGCTGAGGTCTAGGTTGGCTATTAGGAAAAAACTATTTTACTAGGAAGGTGGCGAAGCACTGGAATGGGTTGCCTAGAGTAGTGATTCCCAATTTTTTTTATACCACAGACCAGCAAACCCTTTCAAAAACTTGGCAGACTGGTAACACTTTATTTGCACATTTGCATATTCATTATGCAAATAATGAATATTCAAATGAACAAATAAAATGTTACCAGTCTGCCAAGTTTGTGAATGGGTTAGCCAGTCTGTGGTATAAAAAGTCCCAGTCCCCAGAGCCAGCCCCCCATCCCAAATTCCTCAGTGCCAGTCCCTCACCCTTAGAGACTACCACCACCAGACCCACCAGTACCAGCTTCCTGTTTTCAGAGCCCCACTGCACCCAGCACCTCCCTGTGCCAGCCCCCAGACCCTAATATTAGCACCATCCACAGTGCCCCACAGTGCTAGCCCTGCCCCATATGCCCATCACTACTAGCCCCGCCCCCAAATCCCCCCAGTGCCAGCTCCCCTCCCCAGTTGCCCCCAGTGCTCCCAGTGTCAGCCCCCATCTCTTAGCGGCCTCACGACTTAGAGCTCCCCAGAGCCCCCAGTATTAGCTTCCCCCCCCGAATCCTTCAATGCCAACCCCCCATGTCTTAGAGCCCCCCCAGTACTAGCCAAGCGCCCAGCACCTGTCCCACCCCTCCTCACCTAGCCCTGCACTGCCTCCCAGCCGCCATCTCAGTGCTACTGCCAGGATCACAGCAGCTCTAAGGTTGCCTGGCTGGGCTCCGTTCCACCCTCCTGTTGCGCAGCGAACCACTCTTCCGCAGCTGGGAGGCTCCCCCGCCTCTCCCAACAGCCGTGGCAGGAGGAGAGGCACTGGGCGGTGTACCTGAGCCTTGGCCCCCAGAGCCACAACAGCCTGGCAGCCAGTGGTTCGCAGCCCACCGCCTGTCCGCAAAGCAGCGGTTGGGAACCACTGGCCTAGAGAGGTAGTGGACTCTCCATCCTTTGAGGTTTTTAAGGTGAGGTTTGACAAAGCCTGGGCTGGAATGATTTAGTTGACGTTGGTCCTCCTGAGGTCTCTTCCAACCCTTCGTCTATGCTTCCATGAACAATCCATGATCAAAACATGGATCCCTTGTTTTGAACACAGCTCTTGGGAGGCTCCCTGCCACTCTCCCCAGAAATGCAAATCTCAGAGACCAGATTTCTTTATGCAGAAGAGGGGGGCAGGGCCAGCCGTAGGGCTGGGCAAACTGGGCCCATGCCCAGGGCACCATAGCCAGAGGGCGAGGAGCAGTTGGGCATGGGTGTTGCTTTGCAAAGTGGGTGGAGAGTACTGGGCGGGGGGCAGTGTGACAAGACATGCTGGAAGCACAGGGCTGGAGTTCAGGGCACAGGTAGGAGGAAAGTGCAGGAGTTGGGATGAATGGGGCATTGTGCAGAGGTTGGGGACAAAGGGGTCATAATGCAAAGGTGGCCAGTGGTAAAGAGCACAGGATGGGGGTGCAGAGGTTGGGGAGCCCATGGGTGCCAGGGGAAATGGATGATGATATGCCCACAGGAGTCAGGGGCGCCAAAATACAAGTTTGCCAAAGGTGCCATTTTTCCTAAGCCCTGGAGGGGGCCCTCCAACTTCTCTCTGCACCACTAGGACTATTGGTTTAAATTTGTTATATTCTGTGCCTGTACCTGGAAGCTAAAGTTTTGGCAGCCTTCAGATCTGCAACAACGTAGAGGAAGTAATAGCTCGTAAAGACTCTTCGCTGGACTAGCAAGAAAATGAAGCTTATTGCATCCCAAACAATCCCTGCTTCGTTTTCAGGCAGCTCGCATTTCTCATCTTCAGGAAGAGCTAGACAGGAGAAAGCATCACACCCACTGTACAAATGTTTCACTGCGGGCTGTTCCGCCAAGACAGGCCTTGTCCAGCCCTCATGCTGCAACAGAACAGGAAAACTGACAGACCCACACGCTTAACAACCAGCAATTTGCAGCCCATAAAGAACCCTCAGGTTCTGCTATGGACAACATGACCCAGTGCGACCATGACTAGGAAGGCAGCAAGCCAGGACTGCAAGTTCAGCTTCTGTTTTAATTCTTTATGGGTCTGATCCAAGCCGCAGTGAAGTCAATGAAAAAACTCACAGGCTTCAATGGGCTATGGATCAGAGGCTCCTGGGCTCTTTTTGTGGTCACCGTCTCTCTCACATACATGGAATAACACATGGGAATGACTAGGGTGCATTATGGTGGCTTTCTACATGTCTCTGGAGCATTTAGCCCTGCTTCCCAGACTAGCTGGGTTATTGGTATGTTTCCAGGCAGAATTGTTGCATATCGTACCAGACACATTTGCAACCTCTGCTTCAGTAAAGCAGATCTCTACTAGCACTGCTAGAGATACAGCGTTTTATTGGCTTTGTAGAAAAAGTGGACTAGACTTTTGCTTATCCCTCAGTAAGAAAATGTTTTCCTGAAACCTCTGTCACATGGTACCTGTTCATTATTTGCTACTTACCCAAGTCATAGCCCGGGATAGTACAGAACATGCCAAAGGTCTGTATTAGCCAACAATGGTTTCTCAGTAACTTATCAAGATAAGCACACGCTCCAATCTACAATCAAAAAGGAGACAGTTAAAAGGATCAGCTGCATTCTGTTCCTTTGTATTAATTCATCTAAGCTCTAGTTTAATTGCACTTGCTGGTTTTATCCAAATCAGTATGATGGATCACTCTGATGAACCTTTCTAGCCGCTGTTCCTGAGTCAGCTAGGAAAGAGGCTTCTCGTGTATCCCAACCTTTTCCTGCCAATGGAACAAAGAGGACAGGCAGCGTGGAGGAATGGCCTATGACTGCAGAGAAATGCTTTGCTCTCTGTTTGGTGCTAGGAGGGCTGGCACCGCGCCATGCACCATATATCTCTAATGGATGGACTGATATGACCTTCATGAGCTGGAAGTGATTGTGGAAAGCTCTTGTTTTACCTTTTTCAGTGAACTTAGTTCTCATTAATGGTGCTGCATGAATACCCCGGGGAAAGACATTTTCCTTTCTTCCACAGAAGAGATCTAGCACAGATCACAGCTGTGAATGCTCCACCACCCTCCTGGGGAAAGA